TATGGTCCCACGGAATTGACACTCGTTGACCACACTCCTACCTAGGTAGGTCGTGGGCCGCGTTGAATCTGGCCATGTGAAAGGATGGCACCAGAGTGAATAGCTGTCCGCACGAGTGTATCCAAAATGGGTTTATTTTGTGTCTAAAGAGAAAAACTACATACTTGTGGGATCACCCCCTAAGTGTTGTCTCGCTTATCGCTGACATAATCAACTCCTAGGAGCCGGATAAACTCCGGATCCCATCTACAAGGCAATAGCCTGTAACAGGCCATTAACGTATCTCTTAGGCTTTCTGCTCGCTCAAGTGAGTCTGATATCCATCTATCCGCCGCGACTTTCAGAGGAGGGGGTTCACGACACACTTTGGGTTTGACTCAACGCATCACCTTAAAGACCTGAGCCTACGAGGTAGCACATTCGGCTTGTTTCCTCCAGTGTTCTTTCTTGGCCGCCTTGACTATCGCTCTGAAGTTTTTACGTGGCTGTGTTGATCCTTCGAGAGTGTTCCTGGAATCCTGAAACTCACGGTACTTGAACTTGCAATCCTCCGTCCACCATGGTGCTGTATTCCCGCATGATATCGAGGGTCTCTATCCTACTGCCTTGAGGGCGTCCCCAAGTGCTTCCAAAAGGCTAGATGTCTGGCGTTCGATATCAGCTACGCTACTTATAGGTTCCGGTTTGATCCACGCCTTGACGTATTGCGCAAACTTATCGAGGTTTTTGTTGCTGACAATAAGTCCTTGAGTGAGATTGCGGTTACCAGGCATTCTTTAACACTGCACAGATCCTACAATGGTGCTGTAATCCGAGGTGCAATTATAGTCGCGTGAACTGTCGCGGCGGCCGAAGTATTACTCCATACCAGGTCAAGCACATTCCCGTCCCGATGTGTGGGTACCCCTGCTGTGGTGACCAAATACATGTCCTGAGCCAAAGCCCATTCCATGATCTGATCACCGTTGCTATACTGACGTGGAGCCTGTGGTTGCCAGTGTCTTGACATCGCGTTGAAGTCCCCCTCGACGACCGTAGGACCAAGAGGTCTCCACTGAAGTAAGGGCTCCAAGGATCCACTAGGTCCAGGAGCACGATAAACATTTGCGAAAGTCAGACCATCTACATTTACGAAGCAATAGTCTGAGGTGGGCCTATGCGCCGGGAAGATTTGCGTAGCACTGATACTCTTCCGGGTGAAAGTAATAGCTCGAGGACGGTTTCCCGTTTCTCCAACTGGTTTGTGGCCCTTAAAGACAGGGTGACTTTTTGTGATGAAGTCTCCGTCTATCTGCATTGTCCACGGTTATTGCACCGTGACAACGTGCGCTCCTGCATCCCACGCCTATTGTAATACAGTGTCCATGTTTGGTCCGCCCTTTCCTACGTTCACTTTGTGAAATAGAAGGGTGCTTTATTTTCCATTTGAATGATTAGAGTTTGGCGTCCTACTCATTGACAAACTATCGTCGCTTCCGGGGTATTGATAACCTCAACATCCTTATCCTTCCTTTCCCACGCCGCTAGCGCAGCTTTAAAGTCTCGGTGACCGGGTTCTCGGATAACGTGTAGCTCTGCTGGTGTGCGGGGAACTACTATTCCATTATGTCTTCTCGGCCGGGCCAAGCAGATGAGGTCAGTCGGCTCGTGGGGTCCTGCAAAATTTGAGCACTTTGGTACCTTTGCCGGGCACTCCTTTGTCTCATGCGCTCCCGTACAACGTCCACATCTTTATCCCTTAGTGCAAGCTCTTGTTGTGTGGAAATCAAAACATCGCTGACATTGTTCAGTAGGTCGTCGGCGTGAGAACGGCATCGATGATCCACTCTCGTCGAAGAGTCTGAATTTCAGGTTCACTGGTTTTTGTATGAAGTGCACTATCCAGCTTGTGGAATATTGACCCAATCTCACTTGATTTGGCCGAACCATTACTGGTGTAACCCCACAGACAGGCTGACATTCTGTTTTTACCGTTTCACTAGTAACTGAAATGCTGCCTTCAAGGGTTCTGATGTAAAGAGGGACATGTGGGACAATAATCGAGACCTAGTCTGAGGCTGGCTTGATGGTGATATTCTGTTGCTAGAAGGATGAGGCAACACCCAGAACTGTTTCTCTTAGCGCGTCTGAAGCGCATTCAAAGGCCAAGCCAGATCGGACCTGATACTTCTGCACATTTTCGGATGCCGCTACTCTAGCTCGCTCCGTGATTAACTTTTTTATGGTGACAGGAGATAGTCTCCGCCATTCGTGGTCTGGCTGCATTCAAAGAAAAAGTCATTTATCTTTTTTGGGGGGCATTGGAGTCGTCATATTTGCCGGCAAGACAGTCTTTCGATGGAGCGGAGCTGCTGGAGGATCTGGGAGCTTTGCAGCTCTACGAGCTACTGTTGCTCATGGGTTCTTGTCTGCTTGAAGCTTTGCTGGGAGCGCGCAATCAGGTGGCGCGAGTATTTTGGTCACCTTGAGAGCCCCTGTTGTTATCGCGCTCTTCGAGGGTTGGTGGATCTCACGGGGGGTTTCATTTGCCTGTGTTGTTCCAATAGCAAACGGCGTTACTATTGTAGCTATACTTTCAATAAAAGGCGTCACTGTGGCCGACGCCGCTGTTACTGCCTTGGTTTTAGCCCAGGCTTCGATTATTTCTAAGAATTCCTGGGCAAGATGCAGTCTTTCTTTCCTTTGTTGCTCTGCTTCTTGCATTGCCTCGGCAATACCCATCAGAATTGGGTGAATTGTTGCGCTGGGGTTGGCAGCCATCGATGAGGACGATGCGCTGGCAGAAGCCATTGCACCGCTACGAATTTGGATTTAAACAACTCTAGTTCAAGATGATGTTTGTGGATATGCGATGTTAGAGATGCTTATCTTAATGTACGCGTGTCCGAGATGTCCAGATCTTGCCTAGGAAACCAGCCTAGATCATATACCACCCTACCATCAAACCATCCAGCCACGACGCAGTTTGAGATGCCGCCAGCACTCTAAGATTGTGTCCGTAGAGAACATCGCGAATAATAAACAGATAAATTACTCAATCTTCCTGATTTGGCGCCTCGAGGTCTGTGCAGGTTTTATCGGAAGACGATTACTCTGAGTAGGATGACTCAAGTTGACGTTTTGAAGACTCACACTAAGATTTCTTTTGTAGATACCACTCGAGGTTAACCTGTACGACGAATTATTTCTTCCGTGCATACCCACCACAGGGAAAAGCATGAAAACCCCATGATTGTCCGAGTGTGCTTTCATCATACCACAAATACAATAACACGGCGAGAGAGTGTGAGGTGTGTGGGGTTTACTGGATTCGAATCAGCTTTCTCTTGTCTCATATGGGGTAGGTTTTCAAGCTACCCAGATTCTACCTAGGAGAACGGCTAGAATAGTGTACTACTGCACCATCGAACCCTGAACACCGCCAATAGGTGTTCGATCTACGGCCTCCACTAATGACGTTGATGGATCGACGGTAACAGGGAATACCGTGACATCCGCTCGGTTTACAGCGATGTTGACACCAATATCAGAACCAAATCCTTAGACTTATCTAAGCTAATATGTCGAGGTGAGAGGCTGATCAGCTGGGCGCCACGGACCTATATGTAGACAAGCGAACCACTCTCTATTTTCTTGGGCTACCTGTGACTTCTCCCATCATGCGTACCTCGCGATAAAATGAAAGTCTCGATGAAATACTACAACAATCTAGACTGAAATTTCAGGCTTTGGTTTAGCCTAGCCTAGCATGGCTTATTGCGCCGTCCAAGGCCATACGGAATACTTTGAACCTTTGATATAATAAAACCATCTGGCTAGAGAAAGACTTTCTGAGCTCCACAAGCTCTACGGTAGGAGAAGGCAAGTCGTAGAGGGCAGTAATCTCAACTGTCGACTTTCTGATTTTCGTCAAAATTCAGAACCATTCATAAATTTCCAAAATTGAGCTTTCAAACGAGGAGCATGGAGGGTTATAGTCGTAGTCGAGATATGCACGACTTAGTCAACCTGCGCAAAGGTCGAAATCTTGCAGGGCACATATAGATTTGGAACAGGCATTTATAAATATAATCGTAGGCAGGTAACCAAATAGTAGAGTCAACGGCACTCCCCAGCGCCCTGGACGGCACGAAATAAGTTGGGCTAAGCTACTATACAGCAATCACGATCTGTCAAGACTTTTCTGACATTTCAGCACGACCTTCGGGAAGGAGTTGGAAGGAGGCTAGAAAGGCAAAGTGTGAATTCTCCGAGGTACCCACAAGTCTGCAGCGCCCAGCTGGACGGCCTCTTCGAACGCATCAGAAGGATCACTATGTCTTCGGATTTAGTCCTGATGTCGGTGTTAGGAGAGCCCCGCACCCATAGGTTTTTGCGATTTTTCCCGACTGCCATACACCTGCAAATGGCCATCGTTTCGTTGGCTGGAGAGGGGAGTTTATGAAGGGCAAAGGGCTCCTCTAAGTGTATGATCGAATAAGGACTTTTGAGGGGCGGTACTGTTTGAAGGAAGCTGTATGGGAGGCATAGGAGGGGATATACTACCGGTATAGGTATCCTTGGCCTGCAGGCAGAGAGGACCTGCATGTCCTACATAGTCATAGACTCAGATAGGACAATAAAATGAACTAATAAGTAATAATTAAATAGTAATACCCAAAAAGGTATGTAGATATAAATAGCTACAGATTGATTGTGGGGTGTCCTGCGATGTTGGTCACGTCTCCCCTTAGTGATTCTAGCTTCGTAATATCTGGAGAAGAGTTACGACTGAATCTGTGCGATTTTTTAGAACCCAGGACTCTTTTATAGCAGACAAGATTGGTCTAGCACCAATTTTACCATATCAAGCCAAAAAATTGATGTGTATTTTGAATTTATTAATTTATTGACAGCTGACAGCCTCGTATCATGGTCACCTAACTGAATGTCAACGCAACCCAATTGTCGACGATAAGCTCAATCCTCTCAAATATTCTACTTTTATTTCACTCCAAAACATGCCTAAGGCTGAGGTCGGTACGACTAAATACCTCAATAACAGGCTGAAATCTAAAGGTTTGCAAAGATTACGATGGTATTGTCAAGCAAGTTGATCGAGTCGCCCTATTGTGATATAGTTCTGACCGGAGCGAGCAGGTGTGCGAGCGCCAGATGCGCGATGAGAATGGCTTTAAAATGCACACCCAATCCGAGTCGCACGTACGTCAAATGCTGCTGGTCGGCGAGAACCCCAAGAAGTTTATCAATGATTACAGCAACCAGTTCCAACGCGATTTTCTTCAGCTCCTACGTACTTCACATGGCGAGAAGAGTGTACACATGAATCATTTCTACCAGGAATATATCCAAAATAAAGAGCATGTCCACATGAATGCAACTAGATGGGCTTCATTAACTGAGTACGCAAAGCATCTCGGCCGAGAGGGTATTTGTCGGGTTGAAGATAATGAGAAAGGGCTGTATATCGCGTGGATTGATGATTCACCAGAAAATTTAAGGCGGCAGGACGCGATTCGCAAGAAAGAGAGGCAAGATAAGGGCGATGAGGAACGAGAAAAGATGTTAATACAGGAACAGGTCCTGCGGGCCCAGATTGATGCCGATAGGCGGGCAGGCTCAGGACCGAATGAAACAGAGAATGAGCTACAAAGGGAAGAAGGGACAAAGATTAAGCTTAGTTTTGGCGGAAAGCCTCCCATCTTACTAGCTGGGCAGGCTAAATCAAATGACGGATCTGTACATGAGGCCGAAATTAGTTCTGAGAACCCGAAAAGGAGACTGGTGGGCTCGGCAGCTATCAATCAGGAACTCAAAGATACATTGGTCGAAACAACCCAAAAGAGCAAACTTCCGTCAGTGAATGTCATGTCCAAACCTGGAAGCTCCAGCAAATCTAAGAACGTATTTGCAGCTGCTAAGAAGAATGTACGTAGTGAGAAATCGCCAATAATCACAAGACCGCCACAGAAAATGAGTGAAGCAGAACGTATTATGCGAGAAGAGATAGAGCGAAAGAATAGGCAGGGCCCTGCCTGTCTTAGTGGTTCCTTACAAAAAAAGCGCAAATTATAGTGTACGGATCGAACTTTTGTAGTGTTGGATGATTGAATGATACATAGAGGTATTGTATGGCTTGAAGCTTAAAAGCCTGAATAAGCTCATCTGTTATTAGACTTCAACAAGTTTATTGTTCCAACAGCTTCATGCACCTTTGTTGAGATCGTTATACTGAATCTATTTTCCATCGTAATGGCAGAAATGCTAATCTGCTTCAGTCATGCTTCCATCTCTCCTGTGCCAGTATCAGCAACTGGTTCGTACTTGTAGCGAACTAATTGAGGAACGCTTACGGAATATATTTCACTTTGGCTTCATCCTCCATAACCGCCACAACTTCATCAGGTAACTGACCACTAACCTTTGTGGCATAGACGCCCTTTACATAGTTGTCCAGTCGCTGCCACTTAGCGACCCAGCTCTTACTCGGGTCTGCTAGAGCGATTAGGCCCTCGAACACTTGAGAAGTGCAATCGACAATAGCATCCATGTTACCGGCAAGCAGAAGGAACTCTTCACAGTTTGGACAACCTTCGCGAAGAAATCTCTAAAATCAACAATTACTTTTTGGCTCACTCTTACCATGTACATAAATAAGTAAAGGGGAGGCGCAAAAGAGGGTGTAACGACTCACATTCTGCGTCATGACAATCGAGCATACCATACATGCCCGAAGGTTACGCTGTTGACCTGGCGGCACGTAGCTTTCCATGACGACAGTTGCTTCTATAGATGATCTTGCCTCGAGACTACACAGAGAGCCTCGTGATTTAAATTTCTGTGGATCATGAAACGCAGTGGCTTCAGTGAATTTATTTGTACGGTGATCCGTGGTAGAGACGGCATCATTTGATTCAGCCTTGTACTAGCTGCAGCCGCACTAAACGTTGGCGATGTGAACCGTGCACCCAAGAGTATAGTCCAAATTTTACTTTTCAGATCTGGTAACTGAAAATATTCAGCCGAACAAGAGTAGATTATTGAAAACTGGTTGGATCCGCCTCTTATTGGCCCATCCAGCCACATGTAAAGTGGGACAATGTGACGATTCTCGATTATTGGCAATATTGTCATTTGATTGACGTCACAGGACGGTGCAATCGCGTCAATTTAAGGTTATATAGTATTAAATGATTTTGACAGTAATCTTTCCAATTCTATCTTCTCTAACCATGCTGTCTCTCTGCTACAGATAATACTTTTTTGATCTCGGTTTCAATACAGCTCTGACCATATTCATAAGAATACGAGTTAGCATGTTACAAGTATTAAATAACTAAATATAACTAGTCTCTAATGTCTTAGGCCCGGTAGGACTTTAATACAATTCTAGTCGAACTTGGATCTCTATGACAGTTGGTTGCCGTTGTCCTGATGTCTCCGTAATTGTAAACAAAGTGGTCTCTCGACAAAATCACCAATTTTTCTAGCGCTTTGTTACAAGTAGGTTTCATCATTACAACTGCAGAGATGACTTCGCCGTTGATTAATCGAATCCTTGCAGCCCTCCTCATTCCGGATGATAGTTGTGAGGCTGTGGCATCAAACATCAAGAATTTCTGGTTTGTTGTTCTTGACTTGAAAAGTCGTTCGTGCCCGGGTGAGCTGTCCGTAACAGGCCGTAGGGATTGCCGGCAACTCCACTAGGACCGAATGTTTGTGTAGATAAGACGCAGTGGCAAATTCAACATCAAACCCGCTAGCCACCCCATGTATCTCAGAATCTAGCACAATTCTAGCTAATTCATTAGAATTGATAAAGGACTATCGGAGGATAGTGTACCTCAGTTATTTTTTTTGTGGATTAACAGGCTAGCCAATAGGCAGCATCCGCACTCCAGGAACTGGGGCACAGGTGGAGCCGGGCTGGATTTGGTGAGCCACCATTGTTGGAAATATAGCACAGTGGGATGGGCACAGCATTCCCGAACAAAAGGATTCGGCAAAATGAGTCTCAATTTCTGATAAATACTAGAAGAACGGGAGTTATGGCACGGGTAAATGGACCTCGTTTTGTTCGCTGGAGAGGGGAGGTAGTGAGAGGCAAAGAGCCCCTCTAAATGCGTGATCAAATGAGGACTTGCGAGGAGTGGTACTGTTCGAAGGGAGCTGATTGAGAGGCATAGGAGAGAATATACTACTGGATAGGCTTCTTTAGCCTTTAAGTTGAGAGGACCTTTTTTATTAAAAAAAAGGAAAATATGAACGAAATCTAAATTACAGGTATTTTTACCGCCGTAGAATTAGGCGAATGTATACACGATTTATTGATAATGTATCATAATTATTGAAGGGTGTTGATGTATAACCTATCACAACCTTGATATCTTAAATAACATCAATCAATCAATCAGGAGAGCTTGTATCAGCTTGAGTGAAATTGCAGCTATGTATGAGGGATATGAATATAATCTTGTAGATCGTATTATTTTATCACTTGAGGGTTACAGATGTGTTTGTATGTGTGACGGGCTGTGCCCGGATTGGGACTGGTCACTAGGACCACTCCGTCTCCAAGGTAAGGTATTGGCAAAGCAACGCTCCTGGATAGACGAAAGGGGACTTTAAGGGGGTATTAAAGGGGGTACGTGCCAGATGGGGGAGTACGATACAAGGAAGAGAGCCAGGGAGAAAGGATGATTCTCAGGGGCCAAGGAATATAGCCGGGAGAAAGGACGATTCTCATATGGCTAAAGGGGGGAATTAATACTAGCGTACGCGAAAGACATAAAGGACAGGATACGATACGGTAGTTTAGCTTTCCCCAAGGAAAAATTATTCATTTCCATTGTGTTAACGACTTCAAGTACTTCTGATTTCCTTAAACCTTTACAGTATGTCAAGTACGATCTCACACTCTTTCATATAGCTCCCTGAGTAATGTCTTTCAGAGCATTCCCCTGCTTATTATAAAGTTCGGCAGTTTAACGATAGCTGGAGAGTTGAATTCATAATAACCAATTGAAGGAGAACCCCAGAGGGTCGCAAGACAAAGTTCATAGTCGCAGTAAATCTAAAAACAGAAAGAAAAAGTGACTTTATTATCAATAGTAAAAAGCCTGATGGGTTATGAATAGAAACACAAATATCCCAAGCATGTATTAGCTGGGTGCAAATCAAGACATTACTCACTAGTCGTAAAACTATCTGCTAGGACGAGGGGCGGGCAATAGCAGAACAGAGTCTGATAAGGCGCTGAGGATCTTCGGATGTATAGCCACGTATGTGACCTGACTCGCCTCCGCTAGCTAGAATCGCTCGAGCTTTTTCATCCAATTAGAGAGCTTCCTGAAATTCCATGAGACAGCCCGAGTATGATGAGTATTGCGAAAATCTGGTTTTGCTCTTTTTTGTATGATATCGCGAAAATTGACGCGATTGCATGTGCGAAAACTGATGACATTTAGTGCGGTATGATTAGGGGGTTTTGGACAGATTTATATGGATGCAGATCAGAGACTAGGTGACAACATAGAGGTCACAGGACGAATTGGTTAATTGAATGCTTCTGCCAACTAGAAAGAAGAGCGGGACTTTGAGCTCGCAGTATCATCGCCGAACTGGTCTTGTAGTGCCACGTTTCTCCCAATTCGGGGCCTGCATTATTGCCTGCACCCTGGATACACTTGGAATACTACGATACAGGGGACGAAGAATGAACATATCTCGGCCATATATTCTACGAGCCTAGGGGATACTATTCTTACAGATCCGAGCCCAATCAAATTCCGAAGCACCGAAGAAGTTATCTCACGAGGCGATGATTAAAGTCTCAAGTCCAAATCATTCTTTCGCTTCAATCAAGGTGCATTCCAGTTACAATCTCCTCAAGTCTAAAAGTGCGATCTATAAATTCCTTATTTCAATGACCACTCTTCTCGTCGGCTCAATCCCTGGCTTGGGCTGTCCTTCAGATATATGCCCACGAGTGTCGTTGTGCTCGTAGGAGAAAATAAATCGTGACGCACAAATCTGGCGAGGCCGATCTTCGGAATAGAAGTGAGAGAGTTCATGACAGGTATGGAATATGAAACTAAGGATGGATACAACCTTGTAGGAAACCAAATTTTGACAATTGGTGAGTTGTTCACCTGGAAAAGCCTGCCGGCAGCTCTAGTATTTGAGCAACAATTTTCCGTCCCAACACTGGTCAGGTTGATACAACACATTATCAAGCCCTTACCCTTATGGCCGAAGACTTCCCTCGAGGGACTGATCGACAAGGTCCCTGGTAGTATTGATAAAGAGTTTAGGCTAAAGAAAGCAAATACGAGCAACTTAGTCTGTTGAGATGATGTATGTCGCAACTTTTCAAAGGTGACCAGATATGGAATAAGATTTGGGATCATCGACTCAAGGCGAAGTGAGGGTACAGGGAGAGAGAGATCGTGAATAGAAAATCAAAGCAGTCCAAAATCAAAATGACCCGATTGCCAAATCGATCGCATCGGATAAAGGTAGCTGGGACGGAATCTAGGGGGAAAGCTCGAAAGCTTAGATATAAATCCACTCCAAAGAAAATTATAGAATCAGATCAACGCTACCTGAGTAGTCCATCGTAACAAACAAGTTGTCTTATCACGAACAAAAATTTAGCTACAACAGCCTGACTCATGCGCGTCTCGCATCATTGCAATCGAGACGAATGCTGTATCGTCTCCCATGCCTCTCTTATTCGTATCAATACGCACACGAAATCCATCGCTCTAGGAGTATTTTCACGCTATGAAATGTCCATATCATCAAACATTTCATATACTTTCCGATCCTCTTGTGAATCAATATAATGATCATTCGTTCCCGATTTTGCTGGCTTTATCCCCAATTCTTGACGAATAAAAGAACAACCTAACGCCTTCAACTTAACATTTTTGGGTGCATATCACCTCTGGAATTGAAGTACATGGAAGATGAGTGTCACCAACTGCGCTATTGCATTTCTTCTCTCCATGACGACCTATCGAGAGACTCAGAGACGCTTAGTGTTTATCGAAGAGAGCCTTGAAAATAACTACAGTATTTTTAATGTCGCGGGAATTAAGGGATTCCCGAACCCAGACACGCCTTTAAAAATACATAAAGCAGCGAGCAAAATGATAGCCTCTGGCACTTCGCTTTCGGCCTATTGTTCGAACCAACTAGTAGCCAAACAAATTATAAGAGAAGTAACTTCAGAATTGAAAGATATCACACATGAGTCGCACGTGGGAATGATCGAAAGAGGACCTCTGTACGAAAAATGCTGGAAATATATAGAGTCCAAGACAAAAGAAAATGAAATAAACCCACAGACTGCTCACGAATTTGTTAGGAAATCGGAAACTGACATCAACCAAATATGCACAGATAGCCATATAAACAGCCTCGTTGTTGAGAGAGCCTTGGTATTGATTGGAAATCACAGATGTCTCGGCCCCGAGGACTTGGAATTACGAATTAAATTCACAGCTGACAACCATTTTAACATGGCCGAAGCTCTTTTTGGTGGCCAATTCTTCATGGGTAAGGCAGAAATTGGAGTTGAAAAAATGGCACTAGGTTGGTTTCAGGGCCATCTTCACCTTTTCAAGCTTGAGTTCCGTCGAGATGGTATATGGCATCCAGTAACGGATATCAAGCATTTAAAAAACAACGGAAGAGCCATAGCTTCTTTTATGTGGAAAAATAGTGAAGGGTTACGAGCTTTTAAACGCTACATCGTAGGACTGCGAAAATCCAGCAACCATGTCTCAAGAAATCTTGATACCGGCAGTCATTCCCAACAAAATAGGCTAGGAAATCCGGATCCAAAAGCATTGAAGCAAAACATGATTGAAGGCTTATCCATGGAACCTGCAAACGGAAAACTAGGATGTCTAGAATCAAAACATACTAAGATTCCAGAAAAGAAAAAGAACCGAATTTTACAAAAATTACGTATTTCTCATAATTAGTTACGCTGCGTTCTGATTTTTACAGTTGAAGAAAAATATCATTGACAGTCAAACGCTTATCAAAAATGTGAATACCAATTTATCACATTTTATTTTATTTCCAACGAATTGGAATGAGGTAGCCGTATCATAGAGACGCAATCTATTTAGGGATGACCGGTAGAACTTTCAATAACCGTGGTGACACTACACGAAAATCACTATTCTATTACAAAACCTGATGGGAAAATGCAAACAATAGGTCGGATAGAACAATGGTATATTTTCAAAGCTTGTCTATCTAGAAGATTCAAGGCGGCTTGGGAATCCATATCATTCCAGAAAAGAGACGGCTACTTTGGTCCCAGTAGATCTTTCTCATGATATTCAAGGCGAGCTCTAACAAGATTACGTATGCATACTTGAGTAACTTATTAAAAAATTTTCATTTAGTTGGCACAAAAGGAAAAGGGCTGGCCGTATCTTATAAGAAACTAGACAATATAATGGCAATTGTATATAGGATTCACAGCTCGGGCGTTTCTTGTGGTTAAATGAACTATTCAATGTGTTAAGCAGATATAGATCACAAATTTTAGGCAGATAGCTCAATGCATGGTACGTGACTGAAATAAATCGGATATTGAACAATTGAGGATCCCCAATTGACGGACCTCTAGATTAGTATGAGGCTCTGATAGATTATAATGCTTATGTAATGATGTTCACGTCGGAGTCCAGGCGCAAGATAAGGAATAAATAAATAAACTATTCATTTTGAATTTGATTTCATTTAGCCCGATTTGGTGCGCTATGGGCCCATGAAGGTGTCTACGAACTCTAATATTTACATAGGAGGAAACCTTGCGGTAAAAACCCCCTTAGCTGTCTGACTTGACTCTGCGCGATTATAGTCTTACCTCTAGGAAGTGCACTCACACTCTTGTTGCCAGTGTGGATTCCGTCCTTGTCCTGTGTATCTGTTTTTCTCTCTTCGCCTGATTAACGCCTCGATTTCCCCGGTCATCCGAAAATGCTCTAGCCATCCTTCCTTTTGGATCCACTGTGCAATTCTTGCCATATCTTTGACGTTATTTACCATAGCTTCGAAAGATCGAGTTGTCGATTTTCGTAGCAGCTCACCTCTTCCCTTTGCCCATCTTGGACAAGATATCACCATATGCTTTATATTTTGGGACGGATATCCACATTGGCAGCATGGTTTTCCTACTCCTGGCATGTTCCTTCTGTATAAGTAAGCATTGAGCCCAATGTGCTCGCTTCTTACTTGTGTGGCAATGCTACTCTAGGCCCTGCTAGGGTTTTGGTGGATTTGGATAGGTGACTCTCTATAGGTCATCATAAGTCTACCTGTTTTCTTGTCGTTGTATAAGTTTGCAGCATTCCACTAAATTATTCATTATTATTAAGGAAATAATGACCCCTCAGTCATTGAGGTTGTAGAGCGCATTAATTCGAGTAAATACCGAAGTGCAACTAAGTACAGAATTTGTAGTCACGTTTGTATCAACAAGGTGGCCTACTTGATAGCCCCAATTATTCTATGTTCTAATAATTATCCTGATTTGGCGCCTTGAGACCCATGCAGGTTTTTAGCGGAAGATGTGTACTTTAAGCAGGACGACTCAATTTGATGTCTTAAACGCTCACACTCAGATTTCATTTGCGGATACTACTTGAGGTAAACCCTTGCGGCGTATGATCTCTTCCGTGCATACCCACCACAGGGAAAAGCGGGATAAACCTGTGGTTATCCAATTGTGCTTTCATCATCCAGCAAAATACAACATTACCGCGAGAGAAAGTGAGGCGTGAGTTCCATTGCATTCGAACCAGTTTTCTCCTGTCTCAAATGGAGTAGGTGTTCAAGCTACCCAGAACCTACTTAGGAGAAAAGCTCGAATGGTGTACCACTGCACCATCCAACCCAAAATAGGGAACGTTGCAACTAAACAGAGGACACCCGGTATGAATAGAAAATCAACTTATATCTAGTCTTAAGCTCTACTATACATATTAGTATGTGGGTGTGTTTTTGTAGTACTACTTGAGTCTATGAATATCTAGCACATTGGGCTCCTCTCTGACCCAGGCCACACCTTGTACAGTGCTCCTATCCTCTTTTGTTGCTTGTAAGATCATTGATATATTGACCGTGATGAATAGCCATCCAGCTCTGTGTTTACCCGTGGAATTCGGCCACCTTTTCTACGGAACCTTCTACCCAAAAAAATTAAATTGTAGCAATGGAAACTGCGTGCGCGGGAAAAAGTCTCAAAAAACCTGCAGCCCCAGCCAGGCGAGGCCTAGACACCGGGACCACATGAGGTGCGCATATTCATCTACATCTCCCTTCTTTGTAACAGTCGAGGCCGACTTGATCCAATCCATCATCTACGTATCGGGTGCTGGGTACGCTCCGGAAACCCATCGGATGGCTTTTCATCCGTGATCAAGGTTTGGTGATGAGTAGAGCTCCGACCCTACCATCTGATCTGATCGTGGTTAGCTTCATGATAATAGTGATAGGGAAATGTGCTGAGAGATGAAGAAGATACAGACCGCGAAAGCGATTGGGAATCCTCATCGAAGTGAGGACTTTGTTACTCAATCTCAGCTCTGCAGACTCTACATTGAGACCTGGAGGATCGTAGGGGACACCACTGACAGGTGTTGAGAATAGTCCCCCGCCACAGATAGGAGGCGAGGTGAAAATAACATTCGGGTCTTGCATGAGATTTTGCTTCTGACTAGCTTGATCTATAGTTTGAGTGTAATCTTGGATAGAGGGAGTTTCGTAGGCTCATCGAGGATATAAACGATTATGGTTAGTGTTGGACCCCACTTCGTCTCCTAAGACATCACACAAAAGTATAGAGTTTCTGCCTCCACTTATGCCATTGTTGATGGTTGTATGACAGTAAACGATTTGTCTTAAATTACCAAGTAGCAGTGAACACCATATCAAAAAGGTAGTCATCATCAGGCATAAAGGGATGGAGAATGTCTCAAGAAGTCACCGCGTAAGTCTGCGGTGAAGTCATATTGGCTCCAAGTAATTCAAAGATACGCGAGGGCCAAGACGCAGGGGTAGGTCCAGAGCTCATCAACAATTCGCCCTCACCGTCAAGGTATATTGTTCTGAACTATCCCTGCCTATATCCGCATTTTTTGTTTGAATCATGCTCCACCATTCGTATTCATCTGTTTTACTACGAGTCAGTGTTTTTTGTGCATGTCGGATGACTCTTTTCACTTCACTCTCATACTCTGGATTTCAGTTGCAAGTACCACTATGTGGCAATTTTGCCTACATAAACAGTCGACCCTCGTCCATGCATAACCTTCTAAGGGATGGATTATGACCTTTTGCTGTCCAGACGCGTCTTCATCTCGTACACAGGTCGTATAAAATTGTGGTAAAGTATTGCTGGGCTTGAGCCGGCGAAGACGAATTCTTCACCTTACTGCGATGCCAGTGTAATTGCTCAGCATTACCTTCACATTTGCGATAGCAAAGAAGAATTGCATCCTAATCGAATTTGAAAGCTTACCAAAGCAAGTCTAAAATTGGCAACTTCCAATCAATGTCGGCACTACCCTTATGATACGAGACTCATAGCTCAATCTTATGACGAATAGCCTCTCCTTATCGACCGATTAAGGAGTTTTTCTTGTTGCAAGTGGAAGCTTGCCCCATTAATTACTAGCTATCTACAACTATAAATTACGAAGCAACGTACACACAAAAGGAGAACAAGTTGTGAGACACAAAGCTTGAGTTTTGGCTAATGGGAAACTGTTGATGTCATGGGGTTCTTCCTTTAGAGGAAGAGCAAGCGACTGGAGTATGGAATGAGAGAGTGGTAAACAATAGGTATCCTGGGACTAACGTATTTTGAAGAGTTTTCGACTTCGGGGTGTCTAAGGTCACTGAGACTATGGCTTCAGTTAATGAGCCAGGAAGACTTTCAGTATCGATGAATCTACGGTACTCCCAAGTACCTCAGACGACACAAAAGACATTGGACTAAGCTTCTATACAGTAGATACATTCTATCAATAATTTTCTGAAATTTCAGCACGACCTTCGAGAAAGAATTCGAAGGAAGTTGGAAAGGCAGATATTGACTGTCAAAGGCACATATGAGTCTGAAACGGCCAGCTGGCCAGCCTCTTCGAACGCTTCAAAAGGGTAGCTATTTATTGCTATTGAGCCCTGATATCGATATAAGAAGAGCCTCGAATTTGGTGGATTTTGCGATTTTTCCCGGCTGCCATATACCCGCAAATGGCCATCGTTTTGTTGGCTTGGGAGTGTATATAACGGAGGGCAAAGGGCACCTCTTAGTGTACGATGAAATGAGAACTTTTGAGGGGTGATACTAATTGAAGAGAGCTGTGTAGCCGGTGAAGGATGCGATGTGTTTATGGAGAGGCGCCCTTGATTTTTAGGCAGAGAAGACATGCATATCCCATGTTGTCTGAGACTTTGAAAGGGCAGTGACATCCAAAAAAATGGTCGTTACGAGCTTAGATTTGTCGAGTAACTCCTGTAGTATGGATGCCCTTCTAGCTAGTATATTCAGAAGTTAAGATATTGACAGAAGAATTTTCTATCAAGTCACCTGTATTTATCAGGGGACATTGATCGCCCTATAGTAAGTATCATGCGTTAGGAATGGCATATGAGTGTCCAATTGAGGTTGGTCTCCTTTTTTGCATCAGATTTTAATTGCGTATGCAGCTATCTAGCTTTGACACAATAAAAGAGAAGTGTATGATAGGTGATTCAATGTAAATGAAGAGCACTTATGCTCCGGATTTCATTTGCAAGTACCACTGCGAAGTTATGGTGGCTTTTTCTTCACCCCAAGTCAACCCTCATCCGTGGGTACCCACCCAGGGGAACGTCTCAAAAACCCTGAGTTATCCAGACATGCCTCCATCATACATTACCTTTTCTCCGCGCGAAATGTGGTCTTTGGTGTCTCCTTCCCAAGTGGAGTAGGTACCCAGGCTACTCAAACTATACCAGTGAACACCACCAGGAGGCGGACCACAACACCTTCCATCGTTTGCTTGTGTTTATAGTGTCAGCTGCACTCTCGCAAGCGAAGTCTTGGCGCACACAAAGCTCAATTCGTAAAACTCTTGCCATAACTCCAAGATTCACGCCCGTCAAATTTATATCCTCCGTTTGCATCATCATGTGAACTTGCCCTAATTCCTCTCGCGTCCATCCCATAGACTTGTCTCCCAGATTTGTGCGCCACGCTTTGCTTCCTCCGTCGGGTGTAAATATTGGCGTGGGCGTTTACTTGGTGGCCAGCTTTAGCCAGAGAATAGTCGACTAGAGGTGTAGTCATTGGAATGAGAATGTACTTGGTCGTACTTGTAGACTTGATGAGACCTAGGTAGGAGTCAAACTCGTTGGGAGTGAAATTTTGACGTGGTGGATTAATTTGAATCATTGCCTCGAGGACCAACTTCTGGAGTATTGCGAAATTTGACTGAACTTAGCTCTGGGATAATATTTCATACCCAGGTTCGTAGAGGACACCGCGTACAGGTGTTCAGCCTTACCCTCCGAGGTAGGTCTCGATATGTAGAGTATTGATGACCTTCATATTTTGTTTTGAAGTCCTGTGTGAGACAGGTGGTAGGGCTTCGCTGGATTCATTTCGTCGATATTTTATTCATCTTGATAAGTCCCATACCCAAGTAAATCATACTACAGAGACTGTTGTGATAGATACACCTCTGCACTATCCAATTCTTACACCCCTGCAGTAGATCCAAGATCGATAGATTAGCCACGTTAATTACGAAGACTCAACTTATCACATGACAATAAGCGGCTAACCAGATATGTATTAGCCGATTCGTGTCTGCATTTCTGTGCCTACAAGCTACAACGAGCCCTGGCCTGCTATGTGCATACTGTCATCGATCTAAGAATCCAGGTAGCTAAGTTCCATTTTAAATTCTTTTCTCAACTCTAAGGTTCTTTCGGTCAGCATGAATTAAAGCAGGATAAAAGGGTAGAGTGATCATAAAATCTTCACTATAATCATTCATGCTAAACAATATTGATAGATTTTAGCTGAGGGTTGCAATAGATATATCCTCTACTCGTCGGCTGACCTTTCACTCATGAACACTCAGTAATTTTCAAGATGCGGGACCGGATCATAAATCACAGCTCTCACCGTTCTCGGGGTCAAGGCCCGACAAGTAGAGGAGCTCCGTCAAGCTCCTCAAGTAAGTTTCTCGCGAACCCCAAATTCCAACTAGCCCAATGTATAACGTAACAACATCAACGGCTGAGCCAGAACTTGCAGTGCAAAAAAGAGAAACTCAAATTTTGCAGGTGCGACACCGGCTCCCACGCCATTCGAAATAGAGCGCCTCGAGAATAACGCAAAACGTCTTCAGCGACAGAACACTGGCATTGACACAGATGGAAAGACATATAGACTTGTCGAGAACAAAAATCAAATTCGATTACGAGAAAATTCTAAGTTTGAAAAGGAGGAAGAGATCGAAACTCTCGATTCTATTTCTGATCATTCTGAATCAAAATCAAAGTCTTGGACGGTAGCTACTGTACCAGCATCAAATCCGTTCACAACCGCCTGCCTCATTGGTGTAGCATCAAATCCTTTCCAGGCTGTGCAAAAACCGAATAATTTCGGCACCCCTTCTGTTTCAGTCTTCAACGGTCCTGGTATAAATAAAGTAAACTCAATGCTATGTTCTAATATTTCTGGAATAGCATCGGGTAATGATCAAATAACACATAATCCATTCGCCGGCCAAAAAGGCACGACTCTCAGCACGCATGCTGACGCCCCAAAGTTTGAGATTCTTCCTCAAACAACTACGAATCACAATAGTCTATTCAATTTCAATTCACCAGCACCTACTAACCAAAAAAAAGTTATCGAAGCTAGTCCATATATCTCTGAAAAGCAGTCAAGTTTTGCTCAGAAAATCGAAGACCAACTTCATCTCGACGGAATAGTGTCGCCTTCTATTTCCTCGCTCGATTATGATAAGAAACAAGTAGATTTCATCCAGTCCGCAGCCGAACTACGAAAAGAATTTTTAAAGTATAGGGACAAGGTTCGAATTTCTCTCATCAAAGCCAATCTTCTAGACGACCCAAATGTTCCGAAGAAACTAGAGGATGCGATTGACTTCAAGGGAACATGTAGTGAGATGTGTCCTGAATTCGAGTGCATTACGAGGATAATTGATCGACGATACGACAAAACCGAGAAGGATGTTCAACCTGATGGCTCTTACTCTCATCAACCCAACCCGGGTAAGATGGTCAAAGCCCTTGCTAGGTCAGCTGCAGGTCAAGATGCCCCCCTACCTAGTGATATCAGAACGCCTGCAGCTCTACGGAAAACTGTCGATTACTTATTTAATGATATATTGGGTGAAAGGGAATTGGACACAATTCATGGATTTCTTTGGGATAGAACTCGAGCAATTCGTCGAGACTTTGTATTTCACTCTACTCTGACATCGCTTGAACTCGTGGATCAAGTTTATTGCCTTGAGCGGATAACACGATTTCACGTTATTTCGCTGCACCAAATGTCGAAAGATGGTATTTCTGCGGAGGGATTTTCGGATCAGCAAGAGCGTGAACAATTGTCAAAATCGTTGCTATCTCTCATACACGCTTATGAAGATTGCAAATTACAAGGTGTTGATTGTGAAAATGAAATTGAGTTCAAAGCATATTATATCTTATTCAATGGAGAAATTCCAGGAATAATGGAAACAGTACAAAACTGGGGATGGGATTTATGGGGAAGCTCTGAATTGATAAGGATTGCAGTCAGTCTTTCAGAATCATTACAGAACACATGGGATATTCACGGCCCTCTTTATCCTGCATCGACAACAGAAGTTGGCCAAAACGCGTATTCCAAGTTCTTCTCTATTATCGAAAGTTCAAATGTTTCTTATACCATGGCTTGCTTCGCTGAGATATACTTCAACAAAATTCGAAAAGCCATACTAAGTACGATTCTCACCTCATACCGAAAACAACGTGGACAAACAAAAGACTGGACCCCTAGAAAGTTGAATAAATTTCTGCGATTCGACAAAGAGATTGAAATTGAGCCATTTGTTGAACTATATGGCCTACACTTCGCAGAAACCGATGGCGAATGGTGCTTATCATATGACGCAGCCAATCATATCGAAGATCCTCATCCATTACCTAAGCAACCTCATTCACTCCACCTAGTAGAAAGAAAGCGTGGTAATCGGAGCTTATCTGAAGCAATTCATACCAATTTATTTGAGGATGTCGCATCAAGAGACCAATTTAAACCACAAAGATTTAATTCAGAAGAAAGTATCAGTAGCATACGTTCTACTGAACAGAAGCTCAAAATTGATAACCAATCACAGGCCGATGATAAAATTGCGCTTGATCGCTCGTCTTGCATTACTGATGATGGTGAAACTTCATCAACTAGGGAATTCGAAAACGAAACATCCCGCGTCAATTTAATTCCTCCATCTAAACTTTTTCCTCAACCAACATCTTCCCATTCAAATTCAAATTTAACCTTGACAAGCCCAAAAGGAAATTTTAAATGGCCGTCCAGCTCAGCCTTATTTACCAAAAATCTTTCAACTACGACATTTACACAGCCCTTACTAGTCAATAATCAGGTATCTAGCAGATTAGATTCCACTAAAAATGATTCTCAGCTCATCACTAACATACAGCCTCCGTCACAAACCTTTAACTTCAACGCTAACTTGAGCGAGCTAAAGCCCTCTGAATTATTGAACATCTCTGCTACCCCAGAGAATACGCCTCTTCAATCAACAGCCACCGCTTCCCCATTCCAAGAACAGCAACCTGATAGACCCTCAACCCACACTAATTTAACAGTGAAAGAACAACCAGGAATTGGCAAGCAACAACAGGCAACGACACTGGACACCTTACAACCACCAGAAATAAACGCAAATACTCTAGTACGAAGCAGTGCGTTGATGCCTTCGGATATCAACTTGCCAAGTTTGCCAGAGCTAAACACAGGACCAATCTCGCTAATTCACGACCAAAAAAGGGAAATTGAAGCTCCTGAAAAGAACTCGATATTGTCTCATCAAAAACAATCACGCCTCGATTCCCTAGCAGAGTGGGTCCTCCTCGGCGACGATGGTCTCCTTGAGCATTTCTCCGAAACAATAGCTAAAAAAGTGGTTCATGATACTTTCACTACCTTTATTAATGATCTACAAAATGAATATCAAGAAAAGATTGATAAACAGTCCCTTCTCGAAGCTGGTCGATTTCGTCGGCGAAACTTGGCGATCAAATATGGATATTTTTGGCTTGATCAGGCACGAAAGTTGAGGGTTAAAAGAAGGGGAAGAGAAGCTCGCAAGGCTCGAATAGAAATGGCAAAAAAATCAAAAGAGGAAAAAGAAGTCCAAATCTCTACAATCGTCAGGCGACGGCGTAGGGATAGTCTTGAGAGTGCACTCGATACAAATAGGGAACTAAGTCCCTTTCACAATATCAATAATAAGCCTCGGTCTTTAACAATGTCTGATGAGCTAAAGCATAAACGACAGTGTTCAGAACGATCAGATATAACTTTCGACACTACTTATTCAAACTCAAATATTTTTCCTACAAGTAAGGCTGAAAATCCTTCAAGGTGCTCTCTCTTGTCCGATCCTTCATATTTATCGGGTGGATCAAGAATACATCTCCAGTGTGGAAAAAGCAACGAAGAAAAACGAAAGCAGATTAGTGGGGTCCAAACTGATTATTTTCGACTCAAGGCTAGAGGTATTATGACCCTCCCTAACGGAAGGCCACTCGCGAATATGGCCGCCAGACATATATTCCAGCATCAAAGTTTCGACAATCTCAACTGTTCTATTAAGAACGTATCTTGCCAACCAAGTTCAGGCTCGGATCCGGACCTAAACCTACCGGACGTGCAATCACAACACGAAGAATTCTCTGACACATACAGTGATGACATAGATTTACTAAAGCTAGAAGCAAAGACGTCGGTAAAGGAAAGGCCTTCCAAAAAAAATCCGTCACGTACAGTCGACGATGGCGAATTATTTGACCGAGCAAGAAAGATTAGGAAAAAAATGGACGAAGGTGCTGATTGGTTTCGGAATGAAGTTGAGCGTAGAACAAACGGTTACCGATGAATATAAATCTAAATTTTACGGCGTTGTGGTAAAAATTGTAATATTGTGGCATGATTTAGTATTTATATTGGAGTTATCGATGGAGGCGTACTGACGGAAAAGATACCCAGCCTATAAAAAAAAGTTCATTGAAAGGAATAAACTTGAATAGTGCCCTAGATTTGCGCTTTCGTCTGAGGCAGAAAATCTAAATATGCTGGCATTTTTGGAGTCTAATGTAAAAACATGTAGGATAATGACCTGATCGAAAACAAAAATGGTCCCTCTTTGTAACTCATAAAACTTCTTAATGTTAATTGAAGTTGTACAATGCAAGTCCTTGTAAGGGTCGTATGAGGATCTTAGATCCAGAAACTGCTTGGTTGGTAAGAGGTACTCGTACATTTTGAGTTTAAGTTAAAACTGTATTGTAATGTAGGGTAAGGAAAATGATTTTTGTCTGATTAGATTTATCACTATTCAAGGACTTGTAGATCCTTTTTGCTCGTAATAATAGGGCATGCATGCCTTACACGCGGTCTCCTTCCAGCAGTAGTATCCCCACAGGTCTTTAGTTGAACATGTACCTAATGGTACCCTCACCCGTCATTATCTACCTTCTCCAGCCAATGAAACGAGCACAAATTGTAGGTGTTGGCTGCATGGACAATATCTCAAGAACCGCTATGTGCGGGGCTTTGCTCCTACCAAAAAGCCAAAGTCTACCTTCATGGAATGGTGGGCAGTCTATGCTAGGACTTGACTAGGCTTTCCTTTATTACCGCTATAGCACTTGGCACGACGATATCTCTCATTTTATCCAGCATCAGGACCATCACCTTGATCGTCGTTGGTATGATTGGAAGCGTATCTCTGTGGGAGGTACACATGACCCAGCTTGACGTTGAAAGGACGTGACTCTATCTCGGCTTAGCGAATTCTATGAGGGCTCGAGTCTCATAAGGAAAACCGCTGGCAAGTGATGAGGCTTCGTCCCCCGAAAAATATTTAATTAGATACACGGTAATCTATATTAACAGAGTGCCAAGTTGCATCTATTCTCAAGTTTTCTCCAAAGCACTTTCAAGCTTTGAGCTTTGAGAGACTGTCACGGAGGGTAACTATTCTCAGTGTCTTTCAGTGGCGCTCTCTACGAACTTTCACCTCCCACCATAGAGCCTGCAGAGACACGATTGAGCAACACCTCCATCTTCACTTCGATGACGATCTCCAAGCAGCCTTGCCTTCGATGTGAATTTCAAATCTCAGAAAACCTGCCTAGCACCTATACCATGAAACTAACCATCATCAGATCAGATGTTAGGGTCGAATTCCTAAGCATCATCAACCTTGCTCACGGAGGAGAAGCCATCCGATGGGTTTCCGGAGCGTACCCAGGATACGATACGGCGATAGTGGATTGGATCAAGTCGGCCTCGGCTGTTACAAAGAAGGGAGATGTAGATAAATATGCGCACCTAATATGGTCCCGGTGTCTAGATCTCGCCTGGCTGGGGCAGTAGGTTTTTTGAGACTTTTTCCCGCGCACGCAGTTTCCATTGCTACCACTTTATTTTATTATTATTCTTGGGTAGAAGTTTTCGTGAAAAAGGTGGCCGAATTCCATGAGATAATACCGAGCTGAATAACTATTCATTACGGGCAATATATAAATGATCTTTCAAGTTGCAAAAGTGGATAGAAGCGCTTTTAAATATGTGGCCTGGACCAGAGAGGAGCCCAATGTATAAGATATTCGAGACTCAATTAGCATAATGAACTACACGCAGTATATATTCAGAGCGCGGGTATATCTTGAATTTGTTTTCATTCAACCCGAATTGGTGCCCTGTAGGCCCGTGCAGATATCTATCTATTGTGGTTATGAGCTATGCGGAAGTCACATTGCGGAGTGATGAGGAGTGGATGATGTTATATTCAGTGGTTGACAGTGAATAGACTCATACAATATTATGCTGTAGGTATATGGACAGAAAGTGTAAGACTAAACTTGTATCCATTTATTGTGGGTAGATCTATGAGACTGTACACATGCTCGCCTAACCAGTTCACTAGTGATGTATGCTGTGGCCTTGGGCCACACGCGATGCCCTAGCCTCGACTACCTCGTTGTCTCACATCATGACAATATCATGCTGTATAATTTACACGGGAGGAAATCTCCCGGTGAAAACTCCCCAAACCTTCATGTTTATTGCCTATTTTTTTTCCTAATGTATCCTTCATGAAGCACAGTTACACTGTAGTGCCCTCCATTTAAACCAAAAAAATCATCTCTGTCGACTCAACAATTGCTTGACCCGTTCTTTTCCCTCAGCAGCGTTTCAACCGCCATTGTCATCTGGAACTGTTTTATCCAACCATGATTTAGGATCCATTGTGTAAACTTTTTGATGTTGTCAGGATTATTTATCACAGCTTTGTAGAGCCGATCAGCGGCATGTCTCCAAACCTCTTCTCTTCCACTTGACCATCGATGGCAGGACATAATCATATGCATAGGGTTCTGCGATTGGTAGTCACATTGAAAGCCTGGACTATAGACTTTGGGCTCTTTTCTTCTATATAGATACGAATTGGACCCCCGTGTGTTCACTTCGTATTTGCGTTGCTAGACTGCTTTGAGCCCTTGTCAGACTTCGGTGGAGAAAAAATGGCAGTTCCTGAAAATTTGTATTTTATCATTTTGGTTCCGTTCTGATAGAGCTTAACTGTTCTCCAGGTTTGGGGGCTGTTGAGGCTGTCGAATCCACCCTTGAGTTGTCCAGAATTTAGCCAATTCTTGGTTTGCTGCGACTTTTCCTGCCTCTTTCTGCCGTCTTCTAGACTAATTTTCCCCACAATTTCCACCTAGTTTCTCAGATATAATCTCCTGTTATTGGCTCGCATGTCTTCTCTGCTTCATTTGGGCAGCTCGAAAGCGCGATTGTGTTGTTACACATCCTAAGGTTTAGTGTTGGAGGTGTTTAAAAGCCGATATTTACACGTGACCTGAACTCGCTTAGTCGGATAGTGTCCACATTATGTCGCCTGAGCCATGCCAGCCTTACCCAATTGCAGAGGTAGCAGGGAATCATTGTCAAAATTTGTCGTAGCAGTGAGTAAAGCGCAGACCTCGCGGCACGACGAACCCACCTTAATTCTCCCAACTTGTGGCAGACCAGAGTCTTGTCGCGCAGTAAATTTCTACAGACAATGGCTCTCGCTTCTCCTGACAAAGATGTTGATTATATGATCAAACCAGAAGCCGCGACTCCAGCACTCGATACCAGTAGCTGGCCCCTTTTACTCAAAAATTACGATAAATGTAGGCGCCGTACTCTCAAGGAAGAATATTTGGTCACTAACGTGGCTCAGTGTTGGTTCGAACTGGGCATTTTACACCGATACCCCACGGCTGTGCTCCGCTTAAGCGCGATTTAAAGTCATACATCAGCTCTGGTGTCATAAATCTCGACAAACCATCCAATCCCTCAAGTCACGAGGTTGTTGCTTGGGTTAAGAGGATATTACGGTAATATCTACTCCAAACTTATACTTCTACGAGATCGCTAACCAGAAAAAAAGAGTCGAGAAAACCGGGCACAGTGGAACGCTCGACCCCAAGGTGACGGGTTGCTTAATTGTTTGCATTGATCGTGCAACTCGGCTTGTCAAATCACAGCAAGGCGCCGGAAAGGAGTACGTTTGCGTAATTCGTTTACACGACAAACTACCCGGTGGCGAGGCTCAATTTGCAAGGGCTCTCGAGACCTTAACCGGTGCGCTTTTTCAACGGCCACCCCTTATCTCAGCTGTAAAAAGACAACTTCGTATACGAACTATTCATGAAAGCAAGCTCTATGAGTTTGACAATGATAGACATCTCGGCGTCTTCTGGGTTAGTTGTGAAGCAGGAACATATATCCGAACGTTATGTGTCCATCTAGGCCTGCTCCTTGGTGTTGGAGCTCATATGCAAGAGCTACGTAGAGTTAGAAGCGGTGCTATGGATGAGCAAGAAAATATGGTCACACTGCATGATGTACTTGACGCTCAGTGGATGCAGGATAACACCAGAGATGAATCTTATTTAAGAAAAGTAATTGCACCGCTAGAAACTCTCCTCACAACATACAAGAGGATAGTAGTTAAAGACAGTGCCGTAAATGCCGTATGTTATGGCGCTAAGTTGATGATCCCAGGACTTCTCAGATACGGTAGGTCTATTCTCGGGAAAAATAATTCCTGCTAATAATTAACCTAGAGATTGGAATTGAACTTCATGAGGAAGTAGTATTGATGACTACAAAGGGTGAAGCTATTGCACTCGGTATAGCTCAAATGTCAACTGTAGAACTATCTACATGTGATCACGGCGTTGTTGCGAAGGTAAAACGCTGTATCATGGAGCGCGATTTATATCCCAGAAGATGGGGCCTTGGACCGGTTGCATTAGAAAAGAAAAAGATGAAAGCTGACGGGAAGTTAGACAAATATGGTCGTCCGAACGAAGCAACTCCTGCAAAATGGAACACTGAGTACAAGGACTTTAATGCTCCCTTGGATGGTAGTACTGCCACATCAGAGGCAAAAGCTATTCTAGTTTGCAGGAACGCTGATGCAATGTTGGCCAATTTAGGTGCAGATACCCCAATGGTAGATAATGCTGCAGAAGCTTCATCTTTAGAAGCTGGCGCTGAAGAAAGTGGCAAGAAGCGCAAGCGTCACGAAGGCGAGACGGCCGAAGAGAAAGCTGAGCGACGTCGCAAAAAGAAGGAAAAAAAGAACAAAAAAGAGAAATCAACTCAGGCCACTGAGGATTCAGCTGCGGAGCATAGCGCGTAGAACGATTGATTCTACTGTTTCCTCATGTACACGACTTACATAATTTTCTAGGCGTTTCTATTTATTTTCTTCGCATGACATAGTTGCTGGTTGAAACAAATGGGAGTTGCAGGATCTCTTACTCTGTAATTCTCAAAAAATCTTACACCTATGAATGTCGTATCAGGTTTACTTTTGGAGATTCTCAATTTCCTTAACCTCAAACGTCAACGCGGGTGGTTTATCTATTGGCTGGAGCGAGCGTAAGCTGGTGGCTGCTTGTTTGGAGGAATTCAGATGTAAGTCTTTTGCGGTAACAAGTCGGAGTAATATGGCCATACTTTAATTACTAGAATCTAGCAACGAGAAGACTATCCCTCATCATTTGTCAGTGACTAGGAAGTAAATATCGTAGCGTCTTCATGCAATTTGTATGGTAAGATGTGGGCTAGGTTGACGAAGCCAGGCTGGCGACAATGGGACACGTTAATCTGAGCTAAGCAAAGTGTGGATGACGCCCTCTTTTTTGTATTAAATTATATCTATGTATATAGCCATCTAGCTATGTCAAAATACAAGAGAAAAAGTACATAATAGATGGCTCAGTGGATGATTATAGCACTCATGCTTCGAAAAACGTTTGCAATTACCACTGCTAGCTAATTCTGATTTCATCTTCACCCCAAGTCAACCTTCGGAGGGCAAGACTGAACACCTGTACGCGGTGTCCTCTACGAACCTGGGAGTGAAATATTCTCCCAGAGCCAAGTTCAGTCAAATTTCGCAATATCAAAGAAGTTGGCCCACGAGGAAAAAATCCAAATTACTCCTCCACGTCGTTATTTCGCTCCCAACGAGTTTGACTCCTATCTTCGTCTCATCGAGTCTACAAGTACGACCAAGTATATCCTCATTCCAATAACCACACCACTCTTCGACCTTCTCTGGCCTTAGCTGGTCACCAAATACACGCCCACGCCGATATTTATACCCGACGGAGGAAGCAAAGCGTGGAGCACAAATCTGGGAGATAGTTCTTTGGGATGGATGTGAGAGGAATCAGGAAAACTTTACAAGATGATGCGGAGGAAGAATATAACCTCGAAGGGCGTGAGATTCCGAATTTTGGCAAGGAGTTTTACGAATTGAGCTTTGTGCGCGCCAAGACTTCGCTTGCGAGAGTGCAGCTGACACTATAAAAACAAGCCGACGATGGAAGGTGTAGTGATCCGCCTCCTGGTGATGTTCTCTGGTATAGTTTGAGTAGCCTGGGCACCTACTCCACTTTGGAAGGAGACATCTCAGGTCATATTTCGCGCGGAGAGAAGTTGAATGATGATGGAGGCATGTCTGGATAACTCAGGGTTTTTGAGACGTTCCCCTGGGTGGGTATTCACGGATGAGGGTTGACTTGGGGTGAAGAAAAAGCCACCATAACTTCGCAGTGGTACTTGCAAACGAAATCTGAGGCATGAGTGCTCTTCCTTAACGATGAATCATCTATTCTGTACTTTTCTTTGATATTGTGTCATAGCTAGATAGCTGCATACGCAATTAAAATCTGATGCAAAAAAAAAAAAAAAAAAAGTCAACCTTCGTCCGTAGGTACCCACGCAGGGTTAAGTCTCATTGTAATTCAGTTGATCCTAGGTTATGCATCACAAAGACTCTTTACCCTCCATGTCTTCAGTTTAAACATTATTCCTATTCTCTGTTTCCACGACTGCCATAGAGACATGTACCCAAACAGCACAGCAATCGGATGAACACATATGCCAGTCGCACTCCACTATTTTCCACCAAGTGATTCTGCTATCCAAAAGTCATCGACCTACACAAATTAAGAAATTTAATAAAATGTACGAAGGTAGAGCGAGGCTTGTGTACCATAGTTACATGAATAAGGTAAACGAACCCATAATTCACACGTATGGTGTATTTACATTTGTTATCCTAACGAGTCTATGGCAATAGAAGGACATGTAGGCCCTTTCTACCTTTGGGCAAGGAGTTATTGTGACGTCTTTGCGGCTTCTTTTCAGCAGTGATACACTGTTATATTTTACATATATGTATATGAATATCTTATTATTCTATTTCCCTCTCAAGCAGCAGAAATACAAAGTGATGGTCACAGCAAAGCTAGCATTACGTGACTCGTGAGGCTATGCTCATCCTGCTTTGACCATCGCAAGATAACCCCACAGGGCTCCATTGTGTGTGTGTATTTCCAGTGTGTGTTTTTATTGTACTACTTGAGTCAATGACTATCTAGCACATTGGGCTCCTCTCTGACCCAGGCCATACCTTGTACAGTGCTCCTATCCTCTTTTGTTGCTTGTAAGATCATTGATATATTGCCCGTGATGAATAGCCATCCAGCTCTGTGTTTACCCGTGGAATTCGACCACCTTTTCTACGGAACCTTCTACCCAAAAAAAATTTAATTGTAGCAATGGAAACTGCGTGCGCGGGAAAAAGTCTCAAAAAACCTGCAGCCCCAGCCAGGCGAGGCCTAGACACCGGGACCACATGAGGTGCGCATATTCATCTACATCTCCCTTCTTTGTAACAGTCGAGGCCGACTTGATCCAATCCATCATCTACGTATCGGGTGCTGGGTACGCTCCGGAAACCCATCGGATGGCTTTTCATCCGTGATCAAGGTTTGGTGATGAGTAGAGCTCCGACCCTACCATCTGATCTGATCGTGGTTAGCTTCATGATAGTGGTGATAGGGGAATGTGTTGAGAGATGAAGAAGATACAGACCGCGAAAGCGATTGGGAATCCTCATCGAAGTGAGGACTTTGTTACTCAATCTCAGCTCTGCAGACTCTACATTGAGACCTGGAGGATCGTAGGGGACACCACTGACAGGTGTTGAGAATAGTCCCCCCCACAGGACTCCATTTGAGTATAGATTTAGAGAAATCTTGGATGAAAGGTCTGTAGAAATTCGTGGAGTCTAAGATACGTTGTAGCTCACGTACTGATTACAATACAACACACTATGTTATGTTATTCCTTTCGCCTTTTCGGGGTCTATGGACACTCTAGCAGTGGTGATGATGAGACCCAGGTACTCTGTACGAGTTATTTCGAGTTTGCATTTGCCAACATCTCAAGTCCTGCTTCATATAGCCGCTGCACTACCTTTCGAACTTGTTTGCGGTGTTCTTTCTTCGTCTTGGAGTATTTCAGGACATTGCTTGGGTGTGCAGTAGCAAATCTGGTCAAGAAGTCAAAAAGTATGTGGTTGATGCAAGGCTTGAACGTTGTAGGTGCGCTATAGATCCCAAATAGTACAAAAGTTTGCTCGGAAAGACGGAATTCGCTGATGAAGTTTGTTTTCCATTCATATCCTTCCGCAATACGCAAGTTATTGAATGCTGAGATGATGTCTAATTTTGTGCAGAACTTTGCATTAGACAATGCATCCAGAGTTTCTCATACAAGTGGTAGTGGGTATCGGTTCTTGATTGTGATGTTTTTCAGGCCTCTGTAGTCCTGATACACTCGTACATCCTCGCCAGGCTTGTACGCAAGCCTAGGAGGAGTAGCACATCGTACTCTAGATTCCATGATAAAGCCCTTCTGTAAATTATTGCATAAAAATTCTTGGACAACATCCAATGGTCGTGGTGAAAGTGGTCAGTTTTTCTGGTGCGAAGCTTTCTGGCCAGGTATAATCTTAATCATTTAATCCCAAGCACGCCGCGGCTTTCAATTGCCTTTACTGCCGGAGGGATGCTTGAATCTCTATGTAGAGCCCTGTTTGGGGTGGTTCGCCATGCCGGTAGTGCTCCGCGGATTGCTTTGATAATTGCGTTATCTAGGAGATCTGTATACCACCCGACTCCTATGCCCAACTTCTTGCCTTGCTGAGTGATAGTCCGGGTCAGCCCTAGCCATCCTGCTTCTACTCCGTGAAGCGCTGTACTTGAAATACATGCCTGCATTGCTTTAATCATCGGTCCCGGATCTGCGCCCCATTTCACGGTATTTATTCAGTGTATGAAATTTGTCAGGCGTTAGGCTTTGCCACACCACTCTTGCACATACTAATTGAAGCTGAATTGAGAGTCTATCCAAACCCCAAGGCATCATATATGCGGAGAAGGAATTATCGTGTGGTCTTGGACTTAGATGACTAGGCCTACAGTTTGCAACATTTTCTTGGGACCTCCTCTAATTATCAATAAGTCGGACTTAGCCAAGTCAAAGCTTATTTCATGCCCGTCTGCAAACTGCAAAAGCTTCCATACTTCTACTAGAACCTATTCCGTCAATTTTGGCTGCTGTGTTTCCTATGCTAAAGATTACGATATCGTCGGCATACCAAAACTTGTTGCCCCTGTTCCCATCTCTTACTAGAATAGCTATGTATAGAAGGAGCCGAAGTGGTGATGTCAGTGAGCCTTGCGGGACTTCACACTCTACGACTTTATCTCGCGTCAGCTCGTCCTGGCGGCGAACACGTCCCCTTTGCCGGGTTGAAAAGAACTCAACCCATTGGCAGAGTGACCTGGGCCAGCCCTGATTCCGCATTCGGTGTTATCGCCGTTTGTGGAGGACCGCACCAAATACGCCCTGCACATCTAATGTGACCATTGCTGTGGCCTATTTATTCCGCATTTCCGCATCTGCATCGTGCATGACAGATGAGACAAGGTCAACTGCTGAGCGAGCCGGGAGTGCGCCGAAAAGCTGCTGGGGCACGATGCGGTGTTCATTTGCTAGCCACGCCATTCTCTTCGCTACTATTCGTCCTAGCACTTTCCCCAGGCACGAGATAAGGGAAATCGGCCGCCATCCTTTTGCTGTTGCTAAGTCTCGTCCAGGGTTTGGATGAATTGTGACTTTTGCTATACGAATTGCAGTGGGTATATGTCCTTGTTCCAAACACGCTTGAGAGATGTTTTTACCTGCTGACTGATGGCTGGTCAGCGTGATTTGGGCAGTCGGACTGTTATCTTATCTGAGCCTGCGGACTTATGGCCAGTGGCAAGAGTGCTTGTC